TACCGCTGTTAATTCTATTTTATTTTTAGAACAGCGGACAGCCCTCAGTGCGACCACAAAAACACAGCAATCACACAGTAACAAACATGCCGCAACTCAGCAGGCAAAACCACACCGTAGAGTACAACCCCGCAGGCAGATACGGCAGCAAGTAGCAAGTCATTACATTCTTACCCCCCCGGGGAGCGAGGACCTCCGAGCTAAGGGTGGAGACGAGGAGATCGGCGAGGGAGATTACCCTTCTGAGCCGCCTCGTATCTCAAAACAACTGACTTGGCTGTCTTGATCAGGTCTCTTCTGTAGAACCACCGGTTCTCAGAAGGAGGCTGGAACACAAACCTGACAAGATACTGCCGGTCGGGGCCAGTGCCCCACTCGTCCTCAATGGCCACCACATCATATCCCTTACCATGGATTGGTGGGCCCCATTGAGGGGGCCGGTCAGGGAATGCATCAGCTGGAATGAAAGGCAGCAGCTTGGATGCATGGAAGACCGGATAGGTGCGTAGATGCAGCGGGACGTCGATGACATACGACGGACCGAAGGGATCAACGCCCACTGCATCTAGGACCTGCCACGGACCCAGGTAGCGTGGCAACAGCTCTAGAGAAATATCCTCCTCCCTCGACAACTCAGAACTGGCCACCCAGACATAGTCACCAGTGCGGATGGTGGGGGAAGGCTGCCTGTGGCGGTTGGCTTGTTCAATCATGGCCTTTTCGGCCCTGAACAAGTTCGCCCAGGCTCTTTCCACTTCCAGATGATAGCGTCTGGCGAACTCTGCTGTGTCTGGGGTAAGGTCAGGCTTAGCCTTATCGATGATGTCATCGAGAGGCTGTCGTGGTTCACGTCCCCAATGTAACCGGTAGGGACTGAACCCTGTCGACGAGTGGACAAACATGTTATACATGAGTTGTGCCCTCGCCAAGTGGAGATCCCAGTCCTGCTGATCAGGAGAGATCACAGGACGTAGCAACTGGAACAGGACCTGGTTCATCACCTCAGCCAATCCATTGGCTTCAGGATGACGACCAGATGTCATGTCCAGGCGTGAGTGCAGATAGTCCTTGCAGTAGGACTGCCACTCATCGCTGCAGAATCTGGGGTCTCGATCACTCACAATAGAAGTGGGCGGTCCATGGTGTGTGACCCACCTCTCAGAAAAGGCTGCTCTCACAGTCGGTACCCTGGCTACCTCTGGCAAGGGGATGAACTCTGCGTATTTGGAAAACCTGTCCACGCAGACCATTACCTGACGCATGCCACGAGGGGTAGTCTTGCCTAAGTCTGTAAAGTCGATGGATACAGACTGGGCAGGACCATCAGGTATGGGCAAAGGTTTGAGCAATCCCAAAGGAGGTTTACGCTGAACCTTGTTCCTTTGGCAGAGCTCACAGGTGTCCACATAGTGCAGCATATCACTCCGCATCTCCTTCCAGAAGAAGCGCTGCGGCAGGGCTGCATATGACTTTAGGAACCCAAAGTGTCCACGCGCGTCGTGGCACTCTGACATCAGCAGTGTCCTCAGCTGCTGGTCCTCAGGGATGCACAAGCGCTCCTCTCCTCTGCTGTAAGCATACAGCAGATCTGAACAGGGCATAGCCAAGTTCAGAATTAGGATCTGCTTGCAGATTCCTGGCGATGGGTCCATAAGCCGGATCTTGAGGCAGCAAACGAGCGATGGTCTGACGGACCTCCTCTCCAAAGGAGTGAGTAGAGGAGATCAAAGCAAGAGAGTCAGGCCTACGAGAGAGGGCGTCTGCTACCTTGTTGTAGCAGCCCTTCTTATGCTTCAGTTCAAAGTCAAACAGATCAATGAACTGAATGTAGCATGCCAGTTTATCATTCAACTCTCCCTGTGACTTCAACCACTGCAGGGTGGAATGATCAGAAAAGATCTTGAAGTGCCTGCCGAGGAGAAAATGCTTGCAATGTTTCAGGGCACTGACAAGAGCATACAACTCTTTCTCGTAGGTAGAGTCCTGAAGCTTCTGAGTTTTGATCTTCTTACTCATAAACTCTACAGGTCTCAGACCATTACCATCATCCTGCTAAAGGACTGCCCCAATGCCATACTGACTAGCGTCCGTGGTGAGAACAAATGGCAAAGTGGGGTCAGGCAACTTCAGAACAGGTGCACGAGTCAAGGCCTATTTGAGTCGTGCAAAGGCCATCTGACAGTGGAGGGACCAAAGAAAGGGAGTGTCTTTCTTGGTGAGGTTAGTCAGGGGTGCAGCCACTGCAGAAAAGTTCCTGACGAACTTTCTGTAATAGGAGGCCAGACCCAAGAATGACCGGACATCTCTCACTGTCTGGGGTTGTGAGCAATCCTGAATAGCAGCAACTTTGGCTGCTTCAGGGGCCAGCCCATCTTCAGAAATCACATGACCCAGGTAGATAACAGAGGGAACTCCAAAAGAGGACTTCTCCCTGTTGATCTTATACTGGTTGTCACGTAATGCCTGAAGAATCAGAGCCAAGTGCTCCGCATGTTCCCTGGCAGTCCTGCTGAATACCAGGATGTCATCCAGGTAAACAACCATGAACTTGTTCAGGTACGGCCTGAATATGCGGTGCATCTCGGTCTGGAATGTGCCAGGTGCATTGCAAAGTCCAAATGGCATCACCAGATACTCATAAGTACCATACCTGGTTTTGAAGGCCGTCTTGTGGACGTCCTCCTCTGCCATCTCAATCTGGTGGTAGCCCGATTTGAGGTCGATTTTGCTGAAGATGGTGCAGCCCTGGACCATATCCAGAAGGTCATCGATCCTAGGGAGTGGCTCTGTGGTCTTCCTAGTGATCTTGTTGAGACCCCTGTAGTCTATGCACATTCTGAACTCACCACTCCCCTTTGGAACAAAGAGGACTGGAGCACCGAATTCAGAAGTGCTGGGCCTGATCCAGCCTTTGCTGGTCAGGGTCTCAAGTTGTCGCCCGAGCTCCTCAAGCTCAGCAGGTGATATCCTATAGATGCGGCCCTTGGGAGGGACCGCTCCAGGCAGCAGCTCAATATGATGCTTGGTTGGCCGGTTGGGTAACCCAAAGGGCTCCCGCATCAGATCAGCGTACTGGTCTACAACCTGCTGTATCTCAAGAGGATAGGGAGTAGAGGGAGCGTCTGTCTGCTTGACTAGAGCAATGAACAGGCGCTCATGATCGTACTGGCGAGAGAGAGCATAAAACTCTCTCGCTCTCAAGCAGAAGCAAGATGTCTGAGGGTGGTGATCAGTTGCAATCATGCAAGGCTGATACACCCCTTTGCTGTTTGGCAGTTCAACCTTGGGGATCTGCCAGTCGATCCTTGGGTTGACTGCTCTCAGCCACTGCATAGAGAACACGAGGTCAAAGGGTAGATCAGGGAAGATGTAGAAGTTCAGACTGTGTCTGACTTCTCCTGTGTTGTCGAAGGTAACAGGGATGCTCCTGACCTTCTCCCTGATGGTCAGAATAGTAGAGTCCCCTATGCGGACCTGCAGCGGTTGCAGCAGCTGCACCACTTTCATGCCCAGATGCAGTCTTTGGACTGCACTGGGAGACATGAAGTTACGAGTGGCTCCAGAGTCTAATAGCCCTTTCATCCTGCGATGGTTGATCAGGGGCGAAGCAGGATGAGATCAGACGTGTTCTGCTTTTGTTCTTTCAGGTGAAAGAAGAAAGCAGCAAGAGCCTGATACTCAGACTGGTCCGGTTCCTGATCCGGGTCCGGATCCTCATAGATAAAGGATGCTGCCCGCGCAGCTCCCACACTGGATGGGAAGGAGGAAGTCTCAACTGAAGCTGCTGCAGCTGCAGTTGCATCACTGGAGGAAACTGTTGTCTCCAGGTTCAGCTTCAGTTTTTTGACTGAGCTGGGCTTGGCATGTAGGGACAATGCTTCAAGAAGTGTTGTCCCTCACACCTCAAGCAGACCCCCTTTTCCTTCCTCTTCCTCCACACTCCTTCTTGTATCTTCAAATCATGCCAGGGAAGGGTGTTGGGGTTGAGGGGGTCTGCAGGAAAGCGGACGTCTCGTGGCAAATTAGGGCGTCGGGCAGGGGTTGAAGAGCGACGTCCCTGGCTCTTCCTCTTGCTACTGGAGGCTGTGCTGGAGGCAGATTCGGCCTTTTGAAAGGCCCCCAGCGCAGCCTGCAGCTGCTGGACAACTGCTGCAACATCTGGAACAGCAGCTGCTGCAGTCCCACTTGGCGGTGTACCAGGCCGGGATCCTGCATCAGATGATGATCCAGAACCCGCATAAGCAAAGGCCGCCTTTCCCTTTCTACCACCGCGAGGGAAGACGCCTTTCCTCCTGTCACTGGAGGGGGCCTGAACATGGAGTTTGGCCTCCATGTCCAGTGCTGCACGTCCAAATGAGCGCCAGTCTTTGTGCCCGGCGCTATACAAAGCAACACAAAACTTTTCAGGCACAGCCCTGCAAAAGTTAGTCAACTAGTCATCTGCAGACATAACCAATCCAGGGGTGGATGTCAGCTGTTCAAACTCAGCGAACAACGCCTGCAGACAGCCGCTATATCGCTGCTGGCCCAGGCGTACGATCCGATCAGCAGCCTTGCGTGCCCTCTCTTTGTCTCCAAAGCGATCTTCCAGGGCCTCCAAAAGTTTGTTAGCCGCCAATGTGAATGCCCAGTCCTCCAAAGTCTGTTGCTGGGCACTTGCTGTAGAGGTAGCCCATTTCTGAGCTGGCCCCTCCAGCAGACCCACAACAGTAGCCACCTTTTGCAGCTCTGGGCACTGGAACCCTTTCAGATAGGCCCGGGTTCCAGCTGTCCAGTCCCCCACATCAATCTTGGGGTCATCCCCCCTGAATTTGTTGGGGGCAGGAATCTTGGGACCTCGTGATTCCCCAGCAACAACAGCAGCAAAGGTGGGAGGAGGTGTAGCTTTGGCCTGGGAGGTGACTGAGGGAGAAGACTTCTGAGAGTGATGGGAGGAGCCAGGAGGTGGAGAAGGAGGAGGGGAAGACTGTTTAGGCTTTGGTGAGGGTCCCACAGGGACCAGGGGACTGATGATGTTGGCCACTGTTAACTGAACAGTCAAGTTCTGGATGGAGTCCAGAATCTTGGTCTGCTGAGTTCCCAGATCAGCCACACGAGTCTCCAGTCTCTGGATCCGCTCATCCCAGTTTGTGAAATGGCCGGCTGTCAACTTTTCTTGCAATAGTACCAGCTCAGCCAGGTCTCTGGTACACTGGGCCACCCTCGTATCAGCAACAATTTTCCCGTCCTTCTGCAGCAGGTGCTCCTTGCGAGATGCATCTGTTGCAGCCTCCAATTATGTTGCCTCCTGTCTCTCGGCTTCTGCGAGCAGCGCCTGTTGCTGCCGCAGCTGCTCCTGTATCTCTCTCTTGCGCCGCTGCGCAGGGGTCAGGGGAGGGGGAGGAGGTGTTGCGGCTGAGGGTTCCCCTTCAACCTTGATCACGACCTCCACCTTCCCTGCACCTGTGTCAGCTGCGTCAGACATTTTCCCTCACATAACAACAATAAAACAGAAATGAAACAGCAGGGGGTGCAGCGATTTACACATCACATAGACACTCAAATTTTGCTGCACTATCAATTCACAAAGCAATGTGGGTTAGTGGGCACAAGCAGTTAGGGTTGGAATGAGACCATTGGAGTCAGTAGTCAGGCTGACAGGATGTCTAGTAAAATCATGCACTTACGATTTCCTATACCTGACCCTGAACTTTCCCTGAAGTTGCACTTTGCACACTCACAGTATTCCAGGGGTCACTAGTATTCTAGAGCCCATCAGAAAGCAGAACAATTTAGTAGTATTGAGGGAAATAGGCAAGAATCAACTGAAACACAGCAACAGGTAGTAGCGATTTAGTAGACTACCCCCTGACAACCCCAGACTCAAATTTCCCCAGTGTTGACATCAACATAAATTACCCCAGATATGACGAATTTCAGGAATGTATTGTAATGACCCAAATACAGTGTTTCTGGACTAGCGCTTTAGCAGGGTTGCAAAAAATAGAATTGCGATTCACCCCAGACTGACAGACTTGAATTCTGACGGTCAGATTTTGAGTTGTGACTGACCCTAGGTAGCCTAGACTATAAATAGACTCAGCGCAAAACTCAAATCCACAATATCACTGTCTCAAATCCACAGTATCACTGTCTTTTCAGTACAGAATTCACAGAATGAACATACAGGATGCAGCGCAATACTGTAAAGCAGTCCCAGAACAATTTGGAGTCAGAACAGGTCAGTAGATGAAGAGATATGAGTCAGGGTAGGGAGGAAGAAGATGGATATAGCTGTCTTTCAGTTTGACAATTTCACGATTGTTACACTACTGACAGACAGACCATTAATCCTACTTCTGCTGATGCTATACTAATCGCTACTTAGGGACTCATGTGGAACGAACTCACTTGAAGTACAATCCTCAGTGGGTGATGAAGCTTTGGCTATGGCTGCCAAACCCTGGTCTCGCCAGTACTTGCAGACAGTCTTCCAGAGCTTCCCACGTACAGAATCTCCTGAAACTTGTTGATCATGTCCAGTATGATGAGGCGATTCACCCCCCACTCTCAGATCCACTGAATCTGCCCCAGTGGCGAGAGCAGGAGGTGATCCTGCGATCAATCCTCCCTCAGCGCTACACTAGGATTGAAGCCGCCACCCAGTAATCACTGCATTAGAGTAAATTTCGCCACCCTAGACCCAGTCATCAACTGAGGTCAGGAAGGTGGATGGCGAAATAACCCTATTCTCGCCACTTCCTGTCAGGCACTCAGACAGGCTCAGGGTGCCTGATCAATCGCAATTGATGTTCCTGCAATCACCGCTTATACCCTTCTTCCCTGCTGGGTAGTCACTGGAGATGGAGAACCACCATGGATCTTCTCGCCAGTTAGAGCCAGATGAAGAAGGTGCCCCTGTTGCGCTCAACCCTCTGGGCTCCAATTCCAAACTCTGCTCCAATACCAACTGTTATGAACTTGGTTGTCTGACAATTTGGTTGCCGCTCTCACTCAGAAGAACTCAGACACGCTCATACATGCATGAGACAAAGGGGAGAAGGAGACAGGGTCCAACTGCACACAGATCAGAGATAAACAGCGGAATAGCAATTATGCACAGAAGGGGAGAATACACTCAGTGTTTCTCTCTCCCTGACACACTCCCAACAACCAATCACAATTGACACTGCGAAGATCACAATTGGAAAGTAACC